AGAAAGATCAGGCTTCTTTGGGAGGTTTTAGCTTCCTGAACAGCTCTGGGGCTATGCCTACACTCGAGTCAAACATTAGAAGAAAGAGAAGCAAAAGAGACTTTCACTCCGTGTAGGTTACTTCTCCAAGAGTGACACCCTCTCATAGTCTGCTCATCTTTGCTTACTTTTTAAAGTCTTTTGGGCAGTAGCTTTTTGTTTCAAAAGAGTTTTCAATTGTAATAATGGGATAGATAGGTACTTAGTAGGCTTACTCCACCTCAAATGGAGATGGAACCATTAGATACAATATTAACCCCGAAGTGTTTCCCAAGTGTTCGCAAAGCTCTTAATAAATGATAAAATAGGTTTGAATTTTGCTTTTTTAATTTTTGATCTTTGATTCTGGCAAAAATACACTATTAGGTCATGAAGTAACTTGATGAGAAGGAGCAGGAATCTGAAAAGGGCTTATGAACTGACAGCCTATGGGGGCTGGGGAGATAGCTTGGTGGTCTAAGTGCCTGCCTGGCAAGCACAAGGACCTGGGTTCAATCCCAAGTACCACATGCCATGCTGGCTCCATGCTGAGCTGTCCACCTAGCCCAGGTGTGGTGGTGCACCCTTGTAATCCCAGCACTGGGGAGGCTGAGACAGGAGGATCACTGTGAGTCTGAAGAGGGTATTCAGATCCTGTACCAAATAAGTAAATAAATTTTAAAAAGAAATGACAACACTAAAAAGGTCCCTAGAAATTACTTTTCTTTACAACTAAAATAAAAACTGATCTCTCCAGCCTGGCTTTCCAGTCCCTGCATGGTGTTTCTGTCTCTTCAATGTCACCTGGGGAGGCTCTTCCTTTCTTCTAGGTGACAATCTTCAGACCGCAATAACAGTGGCCAGAAAGTCTGGGATGGTTTCTGAAAGCCAGAAAGTCATTCTCATTGAGGCAGAGGAAACCACAGGATCGTCAGCAGCATCTATAGCTTGGAAATTAGTAGAAGAGAAGAAACACACTGCATGTGGGAAACAGGTAAAGGGGGCCCAGTTCTGCTGTGTCACCTGACATGCTGTGCTGTGTGGGCGACTGACAGCTGTGATTGACTGAGGTGTTGCGATGACCCAGGGTCCACACACTTCTCAGTCTCCTAAAAAATATGTAGTTCAGTGAACCCAATTACATCAGTTTTTCACAGTGTTCCTACCATACCCTAAGGTACAGGCTTTCTTGGGCACTGGAAACAATTCATTCTTTTACACTTAAAGAACTTGTTAGTTTTGTGTAAGAAGAAAAATAGTAAGCAGAACTGTGTATCTAATTTCCCATTTCTCCCCTGGCTTGTCAGCCATAGCATGTGCTCAAAGGGGACTTGATTTCTGGGAGAAACACTTCTGTGTGCATTGCAAAATCAAACAATGTCTTCAGGGTGGAGGAAAATCCATTTTATTCATTTATCTCTATTCTTGTCAGTAGTTTATTTCCATTGTGTCCTTGTGGAATAATATTAATTCTGTAAGGAAAAAGTAGTAAGCTCTCACTTCAGGGAGAGATCTGTTAAGTTGTAGTATTTTTATAGTTTACACTTGAAATGTGTGAAATGTGCTGTTTGCTGGGACTCACCCGAGATCAAATCAGGATGAGAACAGGACAAAAGCAAGTGTTACTCTCCTATTCACTAGTGTCTCTGATGTGCTGAGATTGATTCAGAAAAGAAAAGTATTTCCCTGAGGAATTGGGGTTGGCATTTAACTTTGAAGAAGGAACCTCATCTGTCTTTGTTCCCTTCTCTCAGATGTGCTTGTCTTAACCACAGTCTTAAGTGGAAGAATCAAAAATAATTGCCTCTTGCTTTGCAGGACAATTACATTAACATCAGGGAAGAAGGCTACAATAATGGCAAAGAAGGAAGCTACCATTTTGCTCTAGATGGGAAATCCTTTCAAGTTATAAATCGGTATTTCAGCAGCCTCCTGCCAAAGGCAAGTCATGAGAGGGCAGAAGGCTCTCAGAGGAGACACGGTTGTGTCCTTCCTATACTATGGTCCCAAACAATGTCTAGCCAGCACATATCCAATTAGTTCTGTATATCACAAGAAAGGAAGATTTTTAAAATTATAACTTAATTAATGATACAAAAATGGTTAATGCACAGGCATTGCCAACTTGACTGACTGAACTATCCTGTGGAAAAAATATCTACTATATTATCCAACTTACCAATGGTTATTGACATGCTGCTTAAAAATATCATCTTGGATGCCATTTTTATACAATAAATAATTCTAATTTATATACCAAGCCATCATATCTCTTTAAAAAGTTGAAAGCTAAACTAAAATATCACTTTTCTTCAACTTTTAAATTGCTTGTCCATGTTTCTTACTGGAATTAGAAGCAGAGAGATGACAAAATATCTGAGATGGTAAAGTGAGGCAGAGCATTTGGGAGACTGTCCATTAATGTTTTATCAATGCGCAGGTCTTTCATATTGATGTATCAAAAATATATTTCTAGCAGTGAAGTAAAAAATCCCCTTGTTCATTTCTTAGAGCCCTTAGTTGTCCACATTAATAGGCTTAAAGTCCATGTGACACATGACAACATTGTGGAGCATACACTACATGGAAAAGCAAATCAGTTAGCAAAAGGCCTGACAATCTGGGAAGCATTTCTTCATCCCCTCTTTTCCTGCTTTATTGATCTGGACACAATTCCATATGCCTGTGTCTGGGTTACGTTTCCCTTGTTGCTGAGATGATGTACTGGACACCCAAAATTAGGGAGGAAATGTTTATTGAACTCACAGTTTATGGAGGTTTAAGTCCATAATCTGCTGGCTGCAGGGTAGGGTGGCCTGGAACGGGGGAAACATTCCTGGTGATAGAAGTCAGCAAAATCAGCCAGAGCCAATGGGGGGAGCCTCTCTTCCTCCCTTACATTGTAAGCAGCCTCCCCACCCATCCAGGGCAGTGCAGCACTCACACCATCTCTGTGCCCTTCTCCTGACCAGGCTCAGGGTATTTACAAAGTGAGAACCCTGACCTCCTGCTGAATCACTCAGTCAAGTATCTAACCCTCTCAAGTTGACACAGTGTATCAACCATAGCACCCTGTGAATAAAAAAATCTTCCAGTATATGCACAATGATAATGATTAACTTTGCCATCTCGAAGGAAAGTACCCATTTAGTCCCAGCCCATTACAAGAAATGGGAAGCACCTTGGGTAACAGCAGAAAGAAGTAGATTTTTTAAAAATTAATTTTATTGAGAAACAAATAGCAATGAGACAGTTTCAAAACCGATTAGTAGGACAGTTTCAATAATTAATACATTGCATATTGTTGTCTTCGTAGTGGTTATTCATAGTACAAAATGCAGACATGATATCCTGTCCAAATCCTATTAATACAAATCTTTCTTCTCATTGAATTAAGAGAAAGTAGCTGTATATCCATCCTATTTTGTATATACAGATACAAAGTGGTCCTCCATTTGTATCCCCTTTTTTGTTTAGTTTTGTCAGAGACGGGTATTCCATTGCCACTTAAATATTTGTAGGTGTGTGAATTCAGCAAAATAATCCAATATAGTCCAGTAGTCTATAACAGTAGTAGGTTATCTATAGGACTGGCAATGTCCGAAGTTGTTGACTTGAGCATTTTATATCTCAGCATATTAATATGGCTTTACTTTTCATACCTCATTTTTATACTTTTCTGCTTGATGGTTAAGACTAAGATAAAGCAAGACCTATATAACAAGAAATGTAACTTTTGTATTTGACAAGGTTAGTCAAATCTCCTCAGGATTTACCCTGAAACCCTGCATTGCAGTTTGCAGATCCGTTGTCACTGTCAGCCATGTGGATGAGTCATGGCCATTGCTTGACCAATTTGCTCTCTGTGAAATCCTGAGAGAATGTTTCTCTCCATGTGACTCTCCTTAGGCACACTCTACATTGTTCATCACTTTCTAGAGATAGATTTTTTTGGGGAGAGGTTAGTATAGTCCCATTGCCTATTAGATTTATAGTAAATAAACTTGATTGGCCAGTTTCACTTTTCTTTATCATCTAGAGGGTTGAAGTATCAATGAGTTTTCAAATCATAAGGATTGATTTTGGGTAGATTTCACTACATTGTCACAATGAAGCATCTCACAGAGGAAATCCTGCAACTATATAGAAAGGCAGGCCAAGAATAACAGAAGGTCATTTGGTTTTTGATAAAGGAGTTCCATTTGAGGAGAGTAAAATTTAAAATTTCTCTCATGGAGAATAAGCCCGTGATGGATAACATATCTGCCGAAGAATCAAGATTTTGCATACATACTAAGATACCCAGCAACAGAACCCTGGCCAAGTGATGGTGACCACATATGAAAAAGAGTTTGTTTCCTCTGTGAGATGCTTCATTGTGACAATATAGTGAAATCTTCCCAAAATCAATCCTTATGATTTGAAAACTCATTGATACGTCAACCCTCTAGATGATAAAGAAAAGTGAAACTGATAAAGAAAAGTTTGTTTCTAAGAAATCCTCTTATCAATTTTAAGACAGATTTTGAGGCTTTTGTCATCAGATAAATAACAGCAAATAACAAAAATCAATAAATGTAATTGCTTAATTAAAATAGCTTATAAAAACAATTTAAATAATAAAATAAATAAATTCTGTTGCACATGCATATGTGCCACGTCAAGAAAAAATGGCACATATGCAGGAAACTCCGAAGAATTTAGGCTCTATAGAAGGAAGTTTAGGAGAAAGGAGCTGGTATAGGTTTTTGTATCCTTGAGCTGTCCATATTCCATAGCTCAAAGTAGGTGTGTTTCATAATTGGTCAAGGCTAGACGGTATGATTGAGTCAAAGACCACAGCTAGTCACTATGCTGTTTTTCAACAACTTCTGAACAATGTTTTGAAAGTCAGTTGCTTTTCTTTCTGTCTTGAAATCCTGACCTCTTGCTTTGCTCCATTTTTCCCAAGTGTACTGTTTCAAAATTTTACTAAGCTGCTGATCTTTCTTCTCTCTCTCTCTCTCTCTGTGTCTCTCTGTCTCTCTCTCTCTCTCTCTCTCTCTCTCTCTCTCTGTCTGTCTCTCCAGAACCGGGGATTGAACTCAGACCCTTGTGCTTGCTGGGGAAGCACTTATTCTACTGAGCCATCTCCCTGGCCCCAAGCTCCTGATATTTAAAGACTACCTTCTCCATGGTTGCTGGGATAAATTCCTATTTATCATTGTTTTTATAAGCTATTTTAATTAAGCAATTACATTTATTGATTTTTGTTATTTGCTGTTATTTATCTGATGACAAAAGTCTCAAAATCTGTCTTAAAATTGATAAGAGGATTTCTTAGAAACAAACTTCTTTTCACATGTGGTCGCTATCACTTGGCCAGGGTTCTATTGCCGGGTATTTCATATATGACCACCTCACATGATAACACACTTCCTTTGTTTGGTTTCTTATAGATCCTGATCAACGGGACAATCTTTGCGAGAATGTCTCCAGGGCAGAAATCCAGTCTGGTGGAAGAATTTCAGAAACTGGAGTAGGTTCTTTGACAGTTCAGGTGGTGTGAACTCCATGGCAGCTTGGCAGTGAGGGGCAGCGGCAGAAGCACAGGGAACTGGTCAGTTTGCCTAGAGCAGTGGTTTTTACCATGGTTATGCATGACAGTCACCTAGGGAGCTTGGAAAAAGTATCAAAGCCAATTTCTTGCTATCCAGAGATTCTAATTCAATTAATCACATGGGGCTTCAGTATCAGTAATTTTATTTTATTTTTTTAAATTTTAATGTATTTAGTACAGGGTCTATAGGGTTTCACTACAGATCAGACTTGTAGTGATCCTCTGTTTTCAGCTTTCTAAGTGCTGGGATTACAGACACGCGCCACCATGCCCATTTTTGCTATCAGTAATTTTAAAACCTCTTCACATATGTCACTTTTGCAACTGAAGTTAAGAGCCAGTGGACTAGAATATAAAGCATATGAAAAGTGTATGGTGAGAAATAGCACACTGGAAATATGATTTGAGCTCAGTTCCTAAAGGTACAGTGAAAATTGAGACTATTTCTTATAAGCTGTCATCACAATTATAATATACGGGGATTTCTATAAGAAATTCAGAACTCCCCAGATATTAGAATATTCTTATGCCAAAGCATCCTTTCCAGCCAGAATCAAAACAAAGCAAGAACACTAACCCAATGGGGTTCCATTTCTAGATAATATAAACAGTACAAATAAAGTGACTGTCATGCAGCCCCCTGTTCCTCTGATTTGCCCCCCACAGAGTAGTGGTGCTGAGCTGTATCCACACAACTCCTACTCCTTGCTGTCTTCCTACGCACATGAAGTCATTAGAGAATCGTCACCATTCATAAAGCCCTTTCTTCTTTACTTGGCAGAAAGCGAGTTACCTAGCAGTGTGGCAGAGAAGTACAGCATGTCCTGTGAATGCTGTCCAATGCTGGTCCTTTGGCTAGCCAAATGTCCATAGCCTTTGTCAACAATTCCAGAGGGAAGTGTTCATTTAACCTCAAAAAACCATCCACAGAGGGCTGGCAGTATATCACAGTGGACTAAGCGCTTGCTTAGGTAAGCGCAGGGGCCAAGGATCAATCCCTGGCATCGCATGCTGAGCCGGCCCTGCCCCAGGATGCGCTGAGAGGGCGATGGAATCCGGGCATGGTGACTCATGCCTGTAATCCTAGCACTAGGGAGGCAGAAATCAGGAGGATCACTATGAGTCTGAGCAGGGTAGTGAGATCCTACACACACACACACACACACACACACACACAAACACACACACACACACACCAAACAAAAAAACTACCCTCAGCCAGTGTGGTGGTGCTTGTATGTAATTCAAGGTATTTGGGAAGCTGAGAGAGGATGGCTGAAAGTCTCTTTCTGAGACTTTGTCTCTGGGGATGTGGGGTGGTGGTAGAGCACTAACATCACATGTGAAGACCTGGGTTCAATCTTTAGTAAGGGTAGACTAAAAGCCATTCTTCCCTGCTGCAGGGTTGTGCTTTCTTTTTTTGGCCTAGTGTATCATTTTTCAGCTGAGTGACTACTGCCAGGCTGGAGTTCCCCTTGTGTTAGTATGCATAACACCAACAGCTAAGAGTTGCTCATGACTTTAGACTTTATAAGGTCTATCCCATACAGCGTCTCACTTGGGACTCACCACATTTTGCAGAGGAGAAAAATGGTAGTCAGAATGGTAAGATGATAAATTAAAAATCTAGATCTTCTGGTTTTAAAAGCTGTCCCCTCTCCTCTGAGTTATGATATCTCATCGCATGAGCACGAGCACCCCTACTTTACAGCTGAGTAGGAGGCTTCCTAAGCAGCACTGTGCTGTGTCTACATTGACAGTTGGAGCCAGGAATGATGGGTTGGGTTTCTTAACCCACTGGAGAAGCTGCTGAGCCACTTTGCTTCCAGCCAGACCCTTGGGGAATACCTTTAAAACAACTGAGTTTAAATTCTGAGAAAGGTTGGTCACCAGGTCCTTTTTAAGTTAGAGCAATTAGCTGGTGGGAGAGTATTGATCTCTGCAATTCACACGGTTCCCTTTTAGTTACTTTGTAGGTATGTGTGGTGATGGAGCCAATGACTGTGGGGTAAGTAGCCTGCAGTGGGGGTTACAGTCTCCCAGCAGTGCTTATTGGGAGCTCCTGAGAAGCAGTTCTTGCTGGGATACATGTGACTGTGCGCCTCATGATGGATGGATGGATGCTGAGGGTTTTGGGAGGGTCTCACCAAAGCCACAGAATGAGTCAGTGGCCAGGAGGGGTAAATGAGGTAGGGCATGGTTCGGCACTTCTCTGCTTTAGCTGGGTATGCCAGTGGCACTTCTTTGTTATGTGGCAGGTGTGGCCTTGGTCTCTAGTCAGTGTTGGGGTCTAAAGTCAAGTCAACTTGTGGCCAGCTCAATTGGCCTTTTCTTTTGTGGTCTCTGTAGAGATGTGTGTGAATCTACATAGGTAATAATCCAGCTATTCACTTTCAGGCTTTGAAAATGGCCCACGTGGGCATCTCATTATCAGAGCAGGAGGCATCTGTGGCCTCACCATTCACTTCCAAGACGCCAAACATTGAGTGTGTACCTCACCTTATCAAGTAAGTAGCGCTTGACACAGCATTATTGTCTTCCTCTTAACTTCTAGGGGCAGGTACACTTTCTGCTAGGAAAGACCAGGGCAACTTTATGTTCGTAGGTGGGGAGGGTGCTCTGCAGGAAAACACCAAAGTTCTGCTCCTGCCTAATGGACTCACCAGCCGCTGCAAGCCCCCATGGAGGAGCACTGCTATTTCTAGTGGAAGTCATCCATCACAGTATATTTAGGGACTGGAGTTGAAAACTTGCTACTGCTTTGAAAGTGTTAATCATCCTGTTTTTAAAGTATGTCTTCTTAGACCTTCCTTTCCTCTTGCCTCTTTCTGCATCTTTGTGGTATTCTTCTCACCCCCACTCTCTTCACTTTTGTTGCTTTCAATAAACTTTGCCCTGGTGCTCTATCCTTCTACCATCCAATTGCCCTTCTGCTGCATCTTGTCTGAAAGGTTGAGATACTTAGCATTCCGGCCACTCTTGGTTATTATAGACAGCATGTGTTTACATTTAAAGAGTGTTCTCAAGCCTAGTATCTTATGCTTCAGAACAACCTGAAGACGTAGGAATGGTTGTTACTTCTTTTACAAATAAAGAAATTGAGACTCAGAGAATTTAATTATTATGCTCTAAGCTACGCAATTGAGTTTGTTTAAGTGTGTTTTTTTTTTTCTACAAATTCTATACTTGTTCTACCATATAAAGCAATGACTTGGTTAGCTCCTTCCATTTAAAAATATTTGTTCCTGTATTTGACAGTTATTGAATGGGGACTTAATGTCAGAATCTAAGGGAGAAAAATAAAGACAGGACCTGTAGTTTTGAGAAATGCTGTCAGGGTAATGAAAATGGTAGTGTGGATGGTCGTGAGGTGGATGTGGAGGGAGCGCTGGCAATGGCAGGCAGGTTGACTTGGGAAAACCTCTCCACAGGGGAAGAATGACAGGACACTGCCTTCTGAGGGGCAGCAGTAGCATTCAGGAAAAAAAAACATGGTTGGCATCTCAGGAAATAATTATGATCATAAGCAAATTAAAACCCCACTTTCCTCCAAATGAAGTAGAGAGAAGTGACGTTTCACAAGGCATCTCTTTTATGCTTTCAATATGCACTGTGTCCTCAAAGTCAACCAATGGTAGTACAAAGGGACACGTTCGGTGTGTCCCATCGATTTCAGTTTGACGAATGGTAACTTTAAGTATGTGCACAATTTTAGTTCTAGCTTTAGAGAGAGAGAGAGAAAAAAAAAAACGGGACTGCCAAAGTGAAATCAGAATCAAATGTGTGCCAAGCACCTGCAAGAAGATAGCTCCCCACTGCTGGCTTATTTATATCCCCTGGTTCATAGGAAGAAGCTCAGACAAGGAGAGTGCCCTTCCCAAGTGCCGCAGCACGTAGGTGTGAGATCTGGATCAACTCTTGGCCGTGAGAGCAACAGCTGAAGCAATGCTTGCAGACAGGAAAGTGCAGGGACAGATCCAGGCCCCTCTGCCAAGTCGAGGCTGCGGACTTTGGCCTAGGGAGCCGGTCTTTCTTGGGCATCCACTCATAGCCTCCAGATCCAGCAGCAGCCTCTGCCCCAAGGCTGTGCAGGCCACCAGGCCAGCAATCCGGTCTCAGGCTTCTGAGTGTTTCTCTCCCGAGCTCAGCTGAGTGCTTCAAAATAACTGACCTAGTTTTCCTTCACCACTTTCATTTCATTCCTTTTCTCATGCAGGGAAGGACGTGCGGCTCTCGTCACCTCATTTTGCATGTTTAAGTACATGGCTCTGTACAGCATGATTCAGTATGTTGGCGTTCTGCTGCTCTACTGGGTATGACTTGGGACCTAGCCTCTTGCTTAGTGACAACCAAAACAAGTGGTGGTGTCTGCTCAGTTCGCAATGTCTCCTCAAGGAAGAGTGCACATAGGAGATGTAGGCATCAAGAGCCTCTGTGCTTCTCAGGAGGCTGAAGCAAGAAGATCACACATTTGAGGCCAGCCTGTGAAGCTTAGAGAGACACTGCCTTAGAATAAAAACAAAAAAGGTAGTGGTTGAGCCCCCTTGGACTCAATCTCCAACACGGGGGAGATTGAGTCCATGTTTGCAGTATATTCTCTATGTGCTTTCAGTATGTGATGATTACGTTCCTTGTACGGACTTGGTACATGTGCGTAGCACATCCTCACTCCTGGCTCCATCCTTTTTCTCTTCCCTCTGTCCACCCTCCCTCCTTCTCTTGATCCTTTTCCATTTGAGAAAGATCCATCTCTCTACTTCCTATTACGGGTCTTTTATTTTAGTCTTTATCCATAATTTGGGTTTTGCCTTCAAGTTTTATCAAATGAATCAGAAGTAGATGTACGTGAGCAAAGCTGTTGACTTTAGTTCTCTGACTCTGACCCAGACATTCTTTATCTAGGGGTAGCCAAGGATGAGAACTGAGCATACCCCTTCTGTGCTCATTGTAGCTTTCATCTGCTGGGGCCAGGTCATCCCCTCCAGTTCTGGCCTGGCTGTACTCTAGCATAGCATTCATTAAAGGAATGATTCTCTACAGTGGGTTCTAAGCCAGCTTCCCAACCAACTTTCCTTGATTATTAATATTTGATAACTTCAGTGGTATAAATACATTCCCTACAGGTATGTTTATGTGTCACTGAATGAGAATGGTAAAGAGATGTCCTCTAGAAGGGTGCCCCTACACAGTGCTTGCCCCATGTACGTGTAGGAGTTGTGACCTCTAGAGTATGGGGTGACAGTAATATTGCTAATACTGAGTTCTGAGAATTTATTTGTAAGGTATTTAACAATGCATTTGTACAATTTGAGGTTTTATGTTGGCTCTATTTAATAATCAGCTCAAAACTTTCCTAAGAATTTAGGAATTGGCTTTCAAGATTATAAACCAGTAAATCTCTGGTTATCTGAAAGAGGGGTTAGAAAATTGGCATATCATCCTACAAAAGGTACATATGTGTTGCTGTGGTTTTAATCGTTTTATAAGGTATAAGAGGAGATTTGGCATGCCTATTATTTGTGAATCCAAAATGTGAGCTTATTCTTAATACTAGCACCAAGAACAAGAGTTTCATTTGTCATGTAGTGATTTAAATTATCTTAATTTCTTGCCCTTTCTCTGAAGCAGCAGGCTCTAGTTTCATTGCTTTCAGATTACTGCTGTACTTTTATACTGATAAGTGGGCTACAGATGGGAAGGTGGCTCTATTTTATAATCCCAATAACTCACTATGCTCACTATGAGCACTGAATTAAATAGTATTGAGGGCTAGCCTGATAGCTCAGCAGACTAATTGCCTGCTTAGGCAGAGCACAGCAACCGGGTTTGATCCCCAGCTTGCTGTGCTAGTCCCATCCTCGGGGCACGCTGAGATGGCAATTGAAACTGGATGTGGTGGTGCGCGCCTGTGACCCTAGGGATTGGGAGGCTGAAAATAGGAAGATCAGTACAAGTCCAATCTGTGCAGTGAGACCCTATAGACCCTGTAGACCCTGTACAAAAGAAAGAAAGAAAGAAAGAAGGAAGAAAGAAAGAAAGAAAGAAAGAAAGAAAGAAAGAAAGAAAGAATTAAACAGTACTTGAAAGGAACAAGTTTCTTGAAGTCATTAACACTTGACCACGTTTCCTCAAATACAGTGTGCTTTTTAGGATTTTCTAACCTCTCCTCTAGTAGCCCTCAAGTGTATAAATTGTAGGCTCTGTTGTCCTCACTGTCTATTGGTGACAGTAAGGTACGATGATCACATATTTGCCATGTCTTACTGTGGGGGATGGGTGCTCTGATTGTGTAAGATAAAATCCCAGATTTTCTGGGGGTAACAAACAGAAAAGAGAGCAGAGATGGCTCTAGTGGAAGGAGATATTCCCTTCCTCAGAGGGTACCTGCTGATGCATAAGGACCCTGGCCTGTACAGCACATGACAGGTGCCTTCCCTGTTGGAGAGGTATCCATAGGCTTGTGCCCGTCTACCAATACCTGCTCTCACCAAACCAAACAGACCTGGACCCCACCATCTCCTTGGTAATCTACTTGAATATTCTGGTGTTTTGGTCATAATATGAGTGAAATGCATGTCAAAGTTTATCCAAATGGTCATAGCTGCTTTGATCTGCTTTTCCTTTCAGGAGACAAACAGCCTTTCAAATTACCAGTTTCTGTTTCAGGATCTGGCCATTACAACCCTCATCGGTGTAACAAGTAAGTCCCTTTTCAAACTTTTTTTTTTCCTAGAGGTGCTGCCAGAAAGGAGGGAGGGAACACAGGAGGGAGAAAAGGGGACACAGAGAGAGAAAGAGTGCCTCTTGCTTAAGTGTTGAAAGAAACAATACTGATTTTTCTCTTTTCCACAAAATATAGAGCTTCCAACAATGGACACTAAATATATAAAATGAAAAAAGTACCTTGAAAATCAGGCACATTGGTTTTAGTGGGTTTTTAGGGATAGCTGTGGTTGGAACATGCCCACTTCATAGATGCTGAACGCCCTGTGTGTTTCTGATCTGCACATCTTAGCCTTGCATTGAGAATGGACCTTAAAAGTAATCTTGTCATTAGACTACCCCTCCTTCTTGCTTTCTAATGAATATGTGAATTGTTTCTTCAGTTTCCTCACATAGGGACATTTTTAATTGATGAGATAATTTTCAGGTTTATTTCAGGTGTGCTTCAAGACTGGGGGAAGGTGCAGAGGTTTCCAGTACATCTTTGCCCCCACACATACGCGCCTCCTCCTCATCAGTGTCTCCTGTCCCCCATATATCTGGGACAAGTGATGCAGCTACACTGACTCACCAGTTTCCCAAAGCCAATAGTTTACATCGAGCTTCATTTTTGGTCTTTCCCATTCTATGAGTCAGGAATATGTAATGTGGTGGGTATTCATGATTGTGGTGTCATACTGGGTATTTTACCTTTCCTGAGGATTTCCGTGTTCTACTTATTTATCCTTCCAACACCACACCTGTTGGCAACCACTGTGACCTTTTCACTGTCTCTAGAATGTTCTAGAGTCATGCAGTGTGCCGACTTTTCTGGACTGATTTCTTTCACTTAGTGGCACACGCTTGAGGTTCCCTGTGCTCTCTACAGCACGACAGCTCCACCCTGCACAGGGCCGAGCAGTATTCCTCTGTCTCTCTGCTGCAGCTCATGTGTTGCCTCACTGAAGGCTATCCTGGCGTTTTGGGTTTCTACAGTTAGGAATGAAGCCACTGTCCACATCACTGTGCAGATTTTCGTGTCCACTTCTCAGTTCCACTGGGTACACACCCAATAGGGAGGGCAAATCAAGCAGGAGTATGCTTGGTTTTGTAAGAAACCACCAGATTTCAGTCTTTAAAATGGACAGGACTATTTTGCTTCTTCACCAGCAGCAGGCAAGAGCTGCTGTCGCTCTACATCTTCAGTAGCCTTTGGTGCTGACAGCATCCTGGGCTTGGAACATTTGAGTAGGGCTGTGGTGGCTGCACTTGAGTTTCCAATCCCACTTCCTCATACCTTCTCAAGGATTTTGTTCCTGCAGAAATTCTTTTCTCAAGCATCAACTTTTCTCTGGCCTCCTGGCTCGTTAGCATCAGCCTATTCACATGCTGTCAGATATTCTTTCCTTAAAAATTCCTCCTTGAGGCTAAGCCTCACTAGCCACTGCTCCTTTACTCTTCAGAGTCTCAGTGTTGTGCATATACATGCTCTCCTTGTCCCATCTTTAATTATTTTTCTATTCCTCATCCTTTTATCACACTCTGTACCCAAGGATGTGAATGCTCCAGAGCTGCTAAGTGGGAGGCAGTAATGTGCCTGCTGATGGTTAACAGCCAGCTCTCCAACTCTTTTGATTTTGTATATTTGAATTTATTATGAATTTTACTGGAAAGATTGTGCATAGTGTGAGATTTACAAAATAATGAAAATGCATAATACTCTTCATTGTGAATTCCACTCTGCCAATCGATCTCACAGAATGCTTTCATAGAATTTTGCCAAACTCTTGCATCTAGAATAAACTTATGGTTGCAGTCAATGACTGCACTAATTTCAGCATGAATGTTGATTGACAATGTTCTTTAACTCAATGAGTAAGATAAAAGCCAAATAACAAAAACTTGTGTCAAAAATCCATCAGCCATGTGAAGAACTTACTGTTGAATTAGCCAATAACTCTGGAATACCAGGGGTATACTTCCTTGGTATTTTAAAAAATTATTCACAATGCAATGACAACTAACATGACAGATTTTTATTTTTTGTTTTTATTTTTATTTTTTATTTTATTGAGAAACAGCAATGAGGCAGTTTTAAAACTGATTAGTAGGACAGTTTCAATAATTAACACATTGCATATTGTTATCTTCTTAGTGGTTATTCAGAGTACAAGATGCAGACATGATATCCTGTCCAAATACTATTAGTGCAAATCTTTCTTCTCATTGAATTAAGAGAAAGTAGCTGTATATCTATCCTAACTATTTTGCATATACAAATACAAAATGGTCCTTCTTTTGCATCCCCTTTCTTTGTTTAGTTTTGTTAGAGATGGGTATTCCATTACCATTTAAATATTGTAGGTGCATGAAGTCAGCAAAATATTCCAATATAGTCCAGTAGTCCATAATAATAGTGGGTTATCCATAGGACTGGCAATGTCTGAAGTTGTTGACTTGAGTCCTCTACAGCTCAGCATATTAATATGGCTTTACTTTATACACCTTGTTTTTATACTTTTCTGCTGGATGGGTAAGACCAAGATAAAGCAAAACCTATATAACAAGAAATGTAACTTTTGTATCTGATAAGGTCAGTCAAGTCCCTTCAGGATTTATCCTGTAACCCTGTACCATAGTTTGCACATCCTTTGTAAGTATCAGCCATGTCGATGAGTCATGGCCATTGCTTGACCAATTTGCTCTCTGTGAAAACCTGAGAGAATGTTTTCTCTCCATGTGACACTCCTTAGGCACACTCTACATCATCGATCACATTGCTCTGTGGCCCCATAATCTCCTTGATCAGAAAATTTGGAACACACCTGAGTTACATGATGTTATAGTATAGGTTCTCCTATGTCCTGAGTCTTCACTGACCTTGAAGGGCTAGGGCCAAAATGTTGGCTGTCCTTGCAGCCCTTCTTTTTCTCTAATTTTTGGTCTCCAAACTGAGGTACTTAACCTTCCAGGAGAGAAGCTTATTATTACCGTACAACATATGCCATTGGGTTTAACCTCATTGTCTGTCTGAATATCAAATATCTTAGGCATAACATGGAATGGGTATTTTCTACCTAGTATTGCTATGTTAAGCTTTAAGTCTGTACAGAAAATGGAGAAAAAAATAAAACAATAGCATATTTTTACACAGAAATTTAGAAAGCTAACCATATACTGCACCATATGCTGCATTGTAGCAGGACAGTCCTGTGAGATTTTTTTTTCTTGTCTCTTTTTTCATTTATTACCCTTTTTTTTTT